GACAGTTTCAGTGGAATTTTAGATATCTCAAAGTCACATTGTAAAAAAAACTTTATTCCTCCAAATTTTTTAAACAAGCTGGATGGAATTGCAAACCGGCATGAGTGCTCATTTCTAATAAAAGACTGAAGCCATTTAAGTTTAAGTACTCCATTCATAATATCAAAATCTATTGCCTTTAACCCACCATCCTCATATTCTCTTATTATATAATTTTTCCTTATATAGTGATACTTTTTCCTCCAAATGAAATCAAAATTAAGTTTATTTAATTGCCTTTATCTTTCTGGAAGAAATTGCCAATGAAAAACCTGGGTAAATTAATCTAGAAAGACTTTCAATTTTCGATAGCAATATTCTCCCGAAAATTGTTATATCTCTCTGTAACCAAGAGTTCATAATTGATCTACATTTTAAAAACATTTTTGTCAATATTTAACATTTCAATTCTCTCTACATCTTTTGAAATTGTGATACCTAAATATTTCACCTCCTTCTTAATTGAAACATTATATAATGAGGTTAAAGGGAGCTCGTGAATAGCCATCAATTCACATTTCGAAGTATTTAGCTGTAATCCTGATGCTTTGGCAAAACACTCTACAGAATGAAGTAGGCTACTATTGGGATTTGCATATGATCTTTTAAAAAAAGGGTTGTATCGTCAGCAAGCTGACTTATAATAAAATGGTGTTCCATAAAATTAATACCAGCGATATTCTCATTTTTAACTAGAATGGCTAGCAGTTCCGCAACCATAATACATAAATAAATAAGGTGAACTCTCTTGTCTTATGCCCCTGTTCACCTGAAATCTTGGGCAAGTTCCCTTGGGAAGAGCCACTGAACTATTAATGTCATTGTAAAGCATTTTGATGATATTTATACATTTTGGCCCAAAACCAAAATGACTGAGTGTCTGAAAAAGAAACGGATGTTCTACCATATCAAATGCTTTAAAGAAATCTAAAAAAAAATTAAACCATCGTTTTCAATTAAATGACTATATTCTAGGATATCACAGTAACACACCAGTACTGGATACAGTGAGAAATAATGCCAAATAACCGAGAAGCCCATGATGAAGGTTTTCCATTCATTTTAGTAGCTGACGTTTCTCAGTGTCATGCAATAACAGTTATTCATAATGG